GCCCCTATTAAAACCACCAACACAGATGGCGCTCTTCTTGTGAGGACCAACAAAGCCAAATGAATTTCAGGGCCTGATGTGAGAGCTCACACTGTTGCTGCCAAATTTATATCAGTTATGTGGTTCACTTTGCTGCCAAGATAGGAATTTTTAATGATACATTTAATTTAATTGGAAATAAAAAACAAAAGCTACAAAATAACAAAGAAACTCATGGACATTTCACTGGTATCTACAGATGTTGCCAGGCCCCAGCTGCTCCTGGGGCTTCAGGGGCCTGATCCTGCAGGACAATGGCTCCAGATGCAGCACTGCAACTCAGGGTGTATGTCTACAAGCCAGGGAGCCCCATGGGGACTTCCCCACTTGCAGACGCACACCACAGGAATTCCCTGCAGGGAGTCCCTTAGGTTGAGATCAACATGTCCATGACATATCTGTATCTTAAGGACTACAGTCCCCAATTCCTGGTGCCAAAGATCGCCTAACCACCATTATATCAGTTCCTGCAATACTTAGTGCTTTACGTTTCAATACAGTGTACAAACATTCACTAAGAAGAGATGAAGTGGGATAGCAGGTGCTTGCCCTACCTCATTGAAGGTGGAGGAAGTAAAGATAGGGCAACAATGTTTGCATCTTGACTGGGACCAGGTCTAGCCATTGCTGGTCTGACTCGTTTGAAAATTCACTAAATTCAACTTCACTCCTCCCTCCTTCCACTCAAAATCATTCACTGAAAGGCATCCACTACCCTTGAGCCAGCCTTCTGCTGTCTGTGTGCCAAACACATAGCTTCTTCTTCAAGTTTTCTCTTTAAACCTGCTCCTTCTGCAATTCTTTCTGCACTGATATTGATACTCACTATTCCTCAGCTCCTCCGGAAACATGAATGGTCCATTTTGCCTTAGCCTATAAACAGACAACATCTTTGGAGCAGGATTGGCTGTGCCAGGATGTGTCTCAGTACAGCTGACCTACTTTACTGGTGTCTACCGATGTTGTTGGGCCCCTGCCACTTCTGGGGCTTCAGGGGCCAGATCCTGCAGGACAATGGCTCTGGATGTCACATCCCAGCTCAGGGTGCACATCTGCAAGTGGGGGAGCCCCCATGGGGACTCCGCTGCTTGCAGATACACGCCACAGGAATTCCCTCCAGGGGGTCCCAGTCCCCTTCAGGGTCCCAATCCTTCACAGCAATGGCATGGGAGCAATGGTATCCTTCAGAGCAATGGCACCCCAAGTCAGGGAGCTGGCAGTCTGATGTGTGCTGCGGTAATCCCTTGCAGGGGAATTCCTGTAGTGTATGATAAGAAAACAGATTTTGTCCCATTTAAGGCATCACAGATTGAGACTACCTTTGTTTGCAGTAACGATTTGGGACACTTGGAGTGTGACAGTGGGCTCAGATGTCTCTTCACTCATAACTTGTGCCTCCATAACAATTTTTATAGTGGCACAAGGATGATGTTGACTGTTTGAGCCCTTACACTGGTCTGAAGTAATCTCTGAAAAGACTGTGCTTTGGAATAGGTTTACATGTTCTGGAATACCCCATGCATAATTATTTTTGAGGTATAATTGCTAACTCACCATGGGTGCAAGGCCATAGTGGAGTCTCAGGTAGGCCGCCCATGCTGGAGTACACAGCATGGTTGCAGCCAGGGTCCCGGGGCGCAAGCATGGCGTCCAGTTGCCTCATAAAGGGCATGGACTTGTGGGCAGTCCCTGACCAATGGTTGTGGTCAGTAATGAGGACCCACATGCCTTCAAGGCCTTGAACTTTATGTGGCACTGGCGCACCACCCAGTTGTGCCCATGCTCCCTGCCTGACAGCCCTTTGTAAACATGGGTGTTGGAGCGCCCGCCCCACACTAACTGGCTGAGCACCTCAGCCTCATCCCACAGTGCCACAACATCCGCAGTCTCATCCAGCAACCAGCTGGGGCCCTGGGAGATGGTGTGTGGCATCAGAGAGGACACCAGCATGACTTCTGCGATGGCTCACTGGGCCTCCATTCGACTGTCCTGGTGCTGCCAGGCCTGGGCAGCTGCCTGCAGCACCCAGCACAGGAGCATGGCACGGGATTGGCAGTCGCAAGGTGAAGCAGTGCCAGGCAGCATCTCCAGGATCCAGGCAGGCTGCTTGGGGTCACCTGAGGCCAGGTGGAGCTGGCCTCACTGGCCACAAGCCGGCTGCAGCTGGGCCCAGGTGTTGCCAGGCCGGGCACCTGCCTGCAGCATCCTGTGGGGCTGGATGGCATGGCCCTGGCAGCTATGTGGCACTGCAGTCCACAGAGTGGCGTGGGGGGGTAGGCAAGCTGCCTCAGCTGCCCTGCAGCCTGTGCAGGGGAATGCAGTGGTCAGGTGTGGCCACAGGGTGCCTGCATGTGCCCCAGGGCTCCAGCATGGCCGCAGGCTTTTAAGGACCTGGGAGCGGGGCTGGCATAGAGACAGCTCAGCCCTGGGGCAGAAGAGGCTCCCAGTCCTGGGGCCTTGGGGCTGTGCTGAGGCTGGTCCCCTAGTGGCAGGGCTAACTGGTCAGCGTTTGCATGTACATTACTGTGCAGTAATTATTTGCGAGTAAATTTGCTACTTGCATTTGCAGATAGCAAATATACTCACGAGTAGAGCAGTTTATTGTGCAATAAGTGTCTGCATGTATAGATGTGCATGCTTACTGTGTAGTCAACTGCTCTACTGAGCAGTAAAGCGTCTTGTGTAGACTCACCCTGTGATTACCAAACAAATGTATTTTAAGCTATGATCACATGAACATGATTATACATAAGACTACAGCTTGAAAATATATTCTTTATCTGATCTTCCTGTATGGGACACTATGAAACAAATATCTGATCTAGTACAATAAAAAAAACCTTGTGAATTGGGGTGTCTTTAAATAAGCTTTGTTAGCTCTTTTAATTCAAGCGTCCTTTCTTTCCTTGAAATGTAGTTGGTTGCCCAGTGAAGAGGATATTTTGTGGGGTTTCCAGGAAAAGATGCATACCCAAGTTTAGATTCAGTGAGTAAGCAGTATGGAAGGAACTGATGGAGATGACTGGAGCAGAGGAGGACCTGCCTTTAGAAACATTTTACTCAGCTAGGATTAATAATGAATGCTCAACAGTGATGAATGCTCAACAGAGATCCCAGTGTATTGGGCTGAGAATGAATAATGTATTTACTTGCTGGCTTGATGAGTAAAAGTGTTCTGGTTAGTGTAGTGAATTAAAAGTGGAGCATTTCACAGAGAAGGCTGGGTCTAAGAGTTATCCAGAGCCATAGGCCACATGTGCCTCCTGAGGCTGGGGGGGCACAGCGACCACTCGCAAGAGGCAATGCAGGCGTCAGCGGCAAGGGCGGGCTGTGGCAGTGTTGGCGGTGGGAGGGGTCTCCCCATGGTTGGATGCCAGGCCCGGAAGTGCTGGCGGTGCACCTGGAAGTGCCAGTGGCATTTCTCCGTGGGGGGGCACCAGCGCTCCGCCTGCCCCCCCTGCCCGTCGCCTAAGCGGAGAACACTCACTCTCAGGGCAGGCACCAGCACTCTCAGGGGATGCATGTGTACCCTCTATGCGTCACCTATGTCCAGAGCTGTAATAAAACCAGGTGGAAAACACCACCAGAACTTAAAAGTAATATAGATGCCAGACGAGACCATGCTATTATATGCCTTCAACCTACACTCCCTAAACATTTACTTCTAATTCATTTTCTTAATTGCAGAACAATGCATTTCCTAATTACACTAGGGAGATACCACTGAGCAGTACACAAGTCTTTATTTTTTGATCAAGTTATTCTGGTAGACTCTGTACCAACATATGAGTGTCCTGGCCTCACTTTGTACTAGCTTTGTGTCAGTGAGCACAGACTGGTCATCACATCCTTCAACTAATGTCATGCTAAACCTGTAAGGGCCATCTTGTGATACATTTACGCTGAATTACAATTTGAGGAGTGCAGATGAAATCCATGGGATCACTTGCAGAGATACACACTGCTCAATGTGAGTAAGGGTCTTATAAAGAGCAGTTACAGAAATTGATTTGTATTACATGTGCCCTTGGCATCTTATCTATAAACTATTTATTTCTTTATCTACTTAGTGAGCACTCCCCTAACAAGCAGCATATAAATAACTGCACAGAGTTTGTAAGTAAACTGTGGAACTCATTGCCACAGGATGTTGTTGAGGAAAATAATTTTGCAAGATGGTAAAAGGTTTTGAGCAGTTAAAATGGATACAAGAGTAGGCAATGCTTTAGTAGCTGACTGATGCTAACATAAATTTAGAAAACTTCTTGTTTCAGGTCTTAAACCAGTATTAGGGAATAAGAGGGGAAATAATGTGTAGGAGAGATTATTCTACCTCACCTGATGTCACCTCTGAAGCATCTGGTCCTGGCTGTTATCTCAGGGAGGATACTGTAGTGGAGGAACCATAGGTTAGATCGGGGCGGGCAATTATTTCAGGTGGAGGGCTGCTTACTGAATTTTGGCAAGCCATCGAGGGCCGCATAACAGGCAGCCCAGGGCAGATAAATATTAATTTTCTAATTTTTTTAGGGGCCCCATGGGCCGGATAGAATGGCCTGGCGGACCGCATCCAGCCCCCGGGCCACATTTTGCCCACCCCTGGGTTAGATCCTGCATGACAGTGTTTATATTCTGTGTCAATCAGATGATCTTGAATTTATCTAGTTATCTAATGTATCCTTGTTAAACATTTTTGTTTATGTTCAGTCTATACCTTGACATTACACAGAGGTTCCTGCCTAAATGGGGCAGTTGCTATGTCGCTGGGTGGAATGGATTTTAGTGTCAGAGAAGGGAGCTGTGCTGTGCTCTGACTCATGGAGATTTCTGTTTCTTTTTTCTTCTGCTGCTTTTCCTACTTGTAAAATAAAAGTTATTCAGAGTGAAATCACATACATTGCTCTTTGTTTATGGATACATGTAGTACTGGCGATTGTTAAAGACATTCTCAAAGAACAATACAGGGCATTAACTGCTGTGTCTGATCACTCAGTAGCAATTAGCGTGAAGCAGAGGCAAAAACATGTGCATGTATAATTGTATTATTGTACAATAAAATAGTTTTCAATGTGTAAGAGTTTGGGACAGTAAAATATATATTAAAAAGTGCTTTATGTTATTCTGGTCTCCGCCAATTTTGACAAAACTCCATGAGCCTCACATTTTTTCCCTAGGGCTTGTTCTCAGAGATGTCCTTACAGAGTTCAGAACAGCAAGAATCCCTTTATGTAAGTTCCAGTTCTTCTGATAAAGGTGACTGTAATCTCCAGCTTGTTCTAACAATTCTTTAGGAATTACTAAATAATTCCTCCTTGCAGAGAGTGCACCTGTTCAGATATCACTGCTCCTGTTTAAAAAAGGCTCTAAATGAAAGCAGGAATGTGGAGTTAACAACAAGAATAGAAGCTCTTGGAAATTTCAAATAATGATTCTGGTAAAGCTCAGTTCAGAATGGGGACAGGGGCTGGGCACTCAAAGGGACAAGTATTTTTTTCTGTGTCTTGTATTTCTTAGAGATGGTGGTTATTCAGGACATGATTTAGTGTTACTTTTCACTAAGCCTTTCAAAAAGTCTCATCACAGCACGGCTTGGCTTCAGCATACGCTTTTATTTGCATCATCCATTATGGTGACTGGTATCTGTTAGATAGGTTTGCTTTCAAATTGAATGTGATGTGCTCCAGGTGCTACAGCCATGGGCACTGTGCAAATAATAAAATATAGAAATTGCTTTCAATGCAATATGATTATAGCTCATGTGAAATGGTAGCAGGCTACATTTGAGCTTCTCCAGAAGAGCTTATTGTTGTTTGCCATGTATGTCTTATTCTGGATGGTGTTGATGATAATAGTATAATGGCACAGAGTGCATACTAACAGCATGAATGGGAAATGGGACAGCAACAGGGAGGAAGGATGGTTATATAGCTGAGGCACTGGACTTGGATTTGGATGAGCTGCGTTCATTTCCCAGCTGTATCCTAAAATCGCTGTGTGACTTCACCTAATCTCTCAATTATCCATTATGTAAAATGGGGCTAAGAAATGGCCTTTCTCCCACAACATGTCTTTCTTGCCTATTTAGATTTTAAGCCCTTCTGGGAAGGGACTTACTCTGTGTTTCCATAATGCCTGACTCATAGGACCCTGCTCTCAGCAGGAGCCTGTGCTGCCATCACACAAATCACGTTGTATTTACTTTTCTATCAGCAGGTGCATAAAAAATATCCAAACCCCAAAATACATGAATAAACTGTCATTTTACTTTTGAAAGTGGGTTACATGTTTGCTGTCTTTCATTCATGTCCAAATGAATTACACTCAGTTTACAAATAAAAGGTGGCTTTAATTTGCTCACTTTCACTTGAGCTGATGCCTGAAAGCAAGACTGGGGATTTTTGTTTTCCTTCTCTGGACATCATCATTATAAAAGTTCCAGTGAAGAACCTGGGCCTGCAGTTGTACCTGTATGACCCTAATGACTTCTTGTTGAACTCTGCCTTATGTAGGTTTCCACAAGCATAAACTGATTTGGAATTTAGCAAATGATTGTATTGAAAATTTCCAGAGGAAACTGAATCTGATTCATTCTTGCTTGGCTGAGTGCGTCCTGCATTGTTTATAGAAGTAAAATGAGCAAGCAACTTACTTTTGTCACTGTAGTCAGTGACTGGATTCAGCTACAAGCAAAACCCTGCTCTGCTGGATGTGATGATACCATTTCTCCAATTCAGAGAAGAAGCAGTCTTTTAGCCTTCCAACAGCCTGTGGGAGTACACTTACATGTGAAAGAGAAGCACTTCAACCAGACCTATAAATGTCTGACTACAGCACATAGATAATGCAAGGTGCATGCAAACTCAAGGAGTGGATGAAGCTATTAGGGTCTCGTGACACTACTGACCATGAGAAGGGTTCTGAGGAAGTAATTGCTTATCCTGAGATGAATGAGTGAGTGATCATGTCCTGTTTTCAGCAGCAGATGGGAGCTAGGATCAGGAATATTTGTAACAGAGTCTCTGTTGAATGTGTAGTTCAGTTTTGGACCTGTCTGATACTTCTTCAGCTCAAACCATCATCTTAAGTTGATGGAGTTAGGGCTGAGTAAGGTCCAAGTAACAAGGAAAGGTGAAATGCTAACATTTTCCTTTGCAGGAGGGGGTACAAGGCCCCAAAGGGGAGCTTCCAGAGGCCTTGTGCCATAGGCGGAGGGATTTCAGCAGGCTTCAGAGAGTGTGGCCAGGGACAGAAATTCAAAAAGCCTGAGCCTGAATTGATTCAATCTTTGCAGGTTAGTCTAACCTGCAAAGCTTGAACCAATTTGGAGGTGGATAGACATTCCCTTTTCATTCCAGAAATGCAGGCACATGCCTGCAGTGGCTTAGGCTAGAAGCTGGGGGGCACTAAAGCAGCCCTTCCTTCCCTTCCACACTGCTGAGCTGAGGGTTAACATGGCCAGGGCCCCGCAGGACACTCTGATTAGGAAGAGGCTCCCCCCATAGCAACTCAGAAGGGAGTTGATAACATAGTGTTTATCACCCCTAACTCAGTGTTTATCAGCCCATCAACAAAACAAAAGCTTCTCTCATTAGTTCAAGCTCTTCTTAAACAACTTTTTCTAAGGAAGGAATGGAGGGACATTACTAGCTATCTGTTGATTAGCTCCACAAAGCCCTAAGCCGACACTGTCCTGTCTGCCTTTGTCCCCTCTCCCACATCATGGACTGTAGCTAGCATGTGGTATACTAGCTAATGCTGCGAGGTTTCTGTGTAAGGCAGAGGGGAGGGGGAATCCTTGCTTGAGCAGGAAGTGTGGTGGGGGAGGTAAGGCAGGAGGAAGCCAGGCAGATGGCCTGTACCTGCACTCTCTGCTGGAGCTGCAGCCAGGGAGCAGAAGGGAGGGGCCAGCCCTGCTGGGGTGGAGCAGAGAGCAGTGCCCCACCCAGCAAGGCATCTGGGATGCTGGAGGATTCTGATTTAACTTAAACCAGCAAGGGATCTAGGACAAACATTGCATAAACTGGTTTCACCCAAATCAGTTAAGTTTGATACTACATTCAACCAGGTTTATTTCAAACTGGTTTCAGCCATTTTCAAACTGGTTTATGTGCACTGAACATCTGTTGTGTTACAGGTTTAAACCAGTTTCTGATCATTTAAACCAGTTTATGTGTAATGTCTGTCCCTAGCCCATGAGGCCTTTTTCCTCCAAACTCAAACCATTGCAACACTGCAGATTTCTGGCAGCTTGTATTCACTGTAGCTGTGCTGCCAGTGACTTCTCAGCCAGTGCTTATCTATGAGAGGATTGTTTAGTATGAAGATTCTTTAGTGTAAAGAGGCAGACGGCAAATACTAAGTCCTTTGTGATGTCCAAGAGCTAGCTTTGCTAAAATAGCTTTCTTTCCTATCTTTTGCATGGAGAAGGCAAGATCCACGTGTGGATGAAACCTGGGACTATAAATAAGGCCTCTTGACCTGTTTTTCTATGCACCTGAATGTTAGGAAGAAAAATGCCTTTATATTGAAACTTAAAGGGACAAATCTTATTCCACCTATTAGACATCTAAGTCAACTTAGGTTTCTGAGTGCAATTCTATTCTACCCTGTTCACGTCCTGAAAATCCATTAATATTACTTTTGTAACATGCTGGCATCTTACCCTTAAGATTGAGTCACCAGTTTTGTTTGAGATGCATTGGTAGATGCAAGCCAGAGTTTTGTTCACTTTGCCGGCTGTGGTATTGCATTGGTGGCTCGTGTTTATCGCACCTTTAAGATTGAGTCACAAAAAGGGGCAAGGAGGGGGACCCACACGCCTTTTGTATTATTTGCTTTTCAGGGATTTTAGTCTTGTATAATAGATTCACACTTGGGAGCCTAACTCCACTTAGGTGTCTAATGGGTGGGATTGAATCTGGCCATAGCACTAACTGTTTCAGTCTTTTTTCCCCTGCTGGTTATCTGTGACATACTCTATGGGTTCTGTCCTGAACACCACAAGTTGGGATCCAACTGGATGTAGTTTTAATGGAACCTAGAGTGAGATATGATGGATCAAAATGCCTGCCATGTACCATGTTTCAGCAGCTGAAATTAAACTCTGATTAATACTATTCACAATGGGTAATAAGTGACTGAACTGACTTTGATCACCAGTAGTTCCTCTGTATGTGCCAGAAGTCAAAGGAATAGATGACAAGAAGAGAGAGGGCAGACTATTTAAGTGCTGCACATGACATACTCATGCCTATTACTGACTATAGTTCTTTTCTGTTTCACACCCTCAGGCAGCATAAAACTAATAGGCCTGACATCAGGGGAGATAATGCTGATCATTACAATTTCACTAAATAAGTTATTTTAAATTAATTATATTGCATCCAAGTAAGATTAGCTCCCATTGACTCTTTCACTGCTCTGATTATGTGGAGGTTCAAAATATTAGTTCTATGGAAAACCTTGCATGTTCCTGCAGAGCAACTGATGTGATGTACAACATCCATCAGAGTTAGGGAGTCTTTGCCTATAGTATTGCAGTTTCACACTGTAGTATGTGCCACCTACTAACCAGTGGGCACAGAGCACTTAAAGCACTTACGTGTCTCTTGTTAGGCTGAAATCTAGTTAATGATGTCTATTCATTTAGACGTATGAAAGATAATTTCATGGCAGTGTGATCCTAATATAGGTCTCAGGTTTGCTACATAGTTGGTGTGCATGCTCAGAAGCAGCATATATGGTCCTTGCAAGAAGCCTAGATCATTTCGCATCACGTTGAAGCAAACCCTTAGGGCTGGTGATAAGAGAGGCTCTGACAGATTCCCTTAAGAGGACTGCTACATGGCTACAAGGCTGCAGCTGGAAGTGGTTTAGAGGGCAGGAAATGGAGCTGGGGGAAGGAAAGCTTGAAAGACTCTAAACTGGCCTCTACCAGAACTTTTCAGGAATTTTTTGACAACATATTTTTCCATCGGTACATATAGATTTGTTGAAACCAAAACTCTTCCTAGGAAAAAGCTGTTTTTGAAAGAGTGTTGGAAAAACAGACTTTAAAAGATTCATAGATTTCATAGACATTAGGGCTGGAAGGGACTTCATAAGATCACCCGGTCGCGCCCCCTGCCCAAGGAGCAGGAAGTCATCTAGGGTCAAAGGATCCCAGCAAGATAAGCATCCAAATGTTTCTCAAAAGTGTCCAGAGTAGGTGCTTGCACTACCTCTGTGGGGAGTCTATTTCAGGCCTTGGTGGCTCAGACAGTAAAGAGGTTTTTCCTTACATAGATTCATAGATTCATAGATTAAGGGTCGGAAGGG